TCCCTTCTCCCCCCAGGCTGCGAAAGAACATTTATCACAGTGAGCGCGTTATTCTCCCATAATCGAGCCCACTTCAGAGAGCAAGAGCAGTTCTCCTGTTCGTTCCCTGGCTGTAACAAGCAGTATGACAAAGCCTGCCGGCTGAAAATCCACATGAGGAGCCACACAGGTATTCATGAGGGTGACTTGTACCTGGGGAAGGACACAGAAGATAATATGTGGAGAGTGGACTTCAGTTCGCTGGAAGGACTCGGCCTCAAGCTGCGCCAGGGGAGGTTTAGGTTGGATATTAGGAAAAACTTGTTCACCGAAAGGGCAGTCAGGCCCTGGCCCAGGCTGCCCAGGGCAGTGGTTGAGTCTCCATCCCTGGAGGTATTTAAAAGAAGGGTAGACGTGGTGCTTGAGGACGTGGTTTAGTGGCGGGCTTGGCAGTGATAGGTTAACGGTTGGACTCGATGATCTGAAGGGTCTTTTCCAACCTTAACAATACTATGATTCTAAGAACTGAAAGTCATGAAGGGAGAAAGGGTGACACGAGTTATTTGGGGTCAGTGAAAACATTTGATTCTTGGCCTCCTGGGGGGTAGGAGTCCGCTGAATGAACTTGCCAAACGCGCAGTAGCCATGGACAGGCAAAGTTGTGGCTCTTGGCATGTGAACGCTGTTCAGAAACATTATCCCAGCTCTATTCCCAAGTTCGTAAACATTCAAAACGTTGTGTAAATTCTAATCTTGGTCAAAACAAACAGCTAAAACACTCTCAGAACATGTGAAATGTACGTACCAAGGTTTGGAACGGGAAGAAGATGAATTTCAACACAAGCAAGCACTCCTGACTTGCAAGGACCACTGCTAAGCTGAAATCCAGCCTTTTAGTGTTTTAAAGACAAATATGCGTGCTCTCTACTGTTCCCTGTTTTCCTGGTTTCGTAGCTTTATAGTGTGGGGTTTGGTTTTTTTAAAGCGTCAGTTTTGCTAAGTGGCAGTTCATAGACGTGATGGAAACTAACTTCACATGCTTCACTGTATTGGAATCAACATGTAATCACAGGTCATGAAAACAGAAAAAAACCCCATTTTGGCTGTGTTTCTGTTTTGAATAATGCTATTATTGGTTATTGAAGCACCTTGAAGGTAGCTCAGATTAATATGAGATGGATTGATAATGATCTGTGCTCCCTGATGCATAGGGAAAGGTGCAATGGCCTTGAGTTAAAGGCGGCTCGGGTTGTACGATGGGGAAGGGGCATCCCGGTACTCTGCAGTGAATTGCAGGAGAGGGTGGTTGAGTCTTCCTTCTTTTAAACTAATCCAATCCAAGCGGCTCTTGAAATTTTTCTACTAGCAGTGTGTATTTCCGTATTAGATTATTAATGTAGCCTTTCTTTGCTTAAGGTGAAAGGCCTTTTATCTGCGACTTTGAAGGCTGTGGCTGGTCTTTCACCAGTATGTCCAAGCTGCTGAGACATAAAAGGTAGCCTTTTCTGATTGTACTGTCCTAAGTCGCTTGCTCTTTGTTTGTTTTTCTTCTAGTACTTAAGCAGCAGTGGATGTAATCATGCCAATGGCAATTTCCTTTCCTTGTAGGAAACACGAAGATGACAGGAGATTTATGTGCCCAGTAGAAGGTTGTGGGAAGTCCTTCACAAGAGCAGAACACTTGAAAGGCCACAGTATAACTCACCTTGGTACAAAACCATTTGAGTGTCCAGTAGAAGGTATTGGTCCACTCTTGTATGTATGAACTGGTCATCGGCGTGTATATTGCCTAAAGATTGCGTGCCTTTTCCCCAAACACAAGCTTATTAGAGGATTGGAGCAATTTAGAGCGAGTCTTCTAGCAGAGTTTGAAGAGCTAAAACTCAAGAAAAGACATGTAACTGAATGAGTGATCATTCTCAACTTTTTGGATTGTGGAGAAAACAGTGGTTCATGCTCTGGCTTGATTTTGTTCTTTATGATGAACAGAACTGCTTTATTCTGGAAAAGCCTGCTTCTGATGTTCAGTTTCTGCGGCTCAGCTTTTTCACTTGATTCAGCAGAAGCAGTGAAAAGTGGTGCTGTCCAGCACCTTTGAGGCCACGTTTTGCTGTTGCGACATGTCATCTCGAGTGTTCAGTGGTTGCGCTGTGGTGGTCTCTGCTGCTGGGATGGTGGGAGGCCACGTGAATGGTATCTCTCGGTTGTATGGGAGCCTCGCTGGCGCTCCGTGTGTTTCTTGGTACTACCTCCATCACTTCGGTAGGGCTCCAGGAGCAAAGGTTTTGGGTCTGATCTGGAATATTCTGCTTCATAAAGTAAAGCAGCTCTACTTGGTGATTGTTTCTCCTTTTAATGGTTTTGCCAGCAGTTGTCAGGAAGAGTTTACATTTAAGGTGCCATAGAGGGGAAAGGGTGTGCGTTGCACTGAATGACTTAAGAGTTTCTTGTTAGAAACGGGTTGTTGACCTTTCCCACCCACTGAGATGTCCTTGATGTAAAATGAGGAAATGTATATTTGGCGTTCTTCTGATTGCTCTGAATGTATGCGCAGGCGCTGCAAATTAGCAAATAGAGTTCTGCAGAGCTACTCTGATTTGTTTTGTTAAGATACGAAATACGAACATCAAATTGAAATGAGATGAAACTTTAAAGCCACTTGTATCTTCTTGCAGGCTGTTGTGCAAAATTTTCAGCACGAAGTAGTCTGTATATTCACTCCAAAAAACATCTTCAGGATGTGGACTCATTAAAAACTCGTTGCCCAGTATCAAGCTGTAATAAATTGTTCACTTCCAAACACAGTATGAAGACGCACATGGTCAAACAGCATAACTTCAGTCCAGGTAAAGTACTTGTTTCAAACTACAGGAGGGTGCAATGGAAAAACTAAATGTTTTGTTAAGAAAATGTGTATTTGCTGTTGTGGAAATCCAAGCTCCATAGATACAAATGGCAGAATCTTCACCGAGACTGGAGTTGGTTTCCCCCCCCTAAAATTTTCAGTGAGACCTGTGAGTGTCAGAAAGTGAGACTTGAGCTTGACCTGTGTGAAACTGTGAGAAATTGCAGCTTTTTTGAGTGAAGTAGAGCTTGTCCTTCTCCATGCCATCTGTAAAATATGAGCAAGGACTAAAAGCGCTTCTTTTTGCTCTCCTCTATAACCTAACTTAGTCTGGACTGCCTTAGTGTTGTTATCTTTTGGCAAGTGCTTTTGTAGCTGAAGATTCTCAGTAAAGGAGTGAATTTATTTCAGTGAACTTCTTTTCCTTAAATCTGCTTTCAGGGAAGTTGGGAAGTGTTTTAGTAGGCTGAGAATCCAGAGTTTGAAGCTTCCTCCTTTGGTCACTCGTATTTTACCTCCCCATTGTCTGATGAAAGGTCTGTCTTATAACCAAACCCTACTCTTCCAGATCTCCTAACTCAGCTTGAAGCAACCAGCTCCCTCACACCCAGCAGTGAACTCACTAGTCCAGGACAGAGCGATCTCAGCAACATAGACCTTGTATCCCTGTTCTCCAACGTGTCCAGTAGCAATTCTGGAATTGCAACAGACATGGCGCTAGTGAACTCTGGAATTGTCACAATCGATGTTGCTTCGGTGGGCTCAACGCTCGGAGGAAACCTGCCTGTCAGTAACAATTCTTTAAGCCAGGCAGTTGATCCCTTGATACTGGTGGCCAGCAGCGATATGCCGCAGAGCCTGGACAGTTCTCTCTTGCTGGGAACCAGCACAACAGTTCTACAGCAAAGCACTTTAAATTTGGATGATGTACAGACTGTCAATGCAGAAGCCTTGGGTTCGCTAGCATCTCTGTCGGTGAGGAATTCCGGTCAAGATGTGCACGGTTTGACGTCCAGCAATAATTTAACAATCGACACAGCCACTTTGACCCCTTCTAGTAGCCTCGGCGGTACCAATGTGCCTGAGTTACTAACACCAACTAAAGCTGAACGGAATTTGCTTCCTAGCTCGGACGTTGTTGGTCAACAAGAGGGCAGCAAAGTAGTGACGCAGTTCGTCTTCTCCAACCCTCCAGGGAGCTACAGTGCACAGAAAGAAATGGATCTTGGCACAGTGACTGGCAGCTCGTTTTTGGTATGGAGTAACTGTATTCATTTTACCCCTAGATGACTGAGACACCCTGACTTTGGGGATAGCCATTGCTACTTATGCCTTATAGGGAGGCCTTTCTCAGATTTTGCAGATCATGCATTTTGGCTTTTTTTGATGAAGGATGTAGAATGTTATGTTGAAGAGTGTGTTGTCAGGAGTAGATTCAGTGCGGTGATAAGTTCTCTTAAGGAATACTGGAATTCTGGTGGGGAGAGTTAAGGGAGCACTTTTCAAAATAAGGGATTAAAAAATAAGTGGCCCTCTGTCTGAGGATGAAATGGAATTTACAGGAATACGCAAGAATACGTGGTATGTCTTGGGCATTTCATCCCAGGGAAAGGTTTGGGCTGGGAGAGTAAGTTCTCATCTCAGTCCTCATTCCCATTTTAAGTACTCTCCCCTTTCTGCTTTACTACGTTACTGCAGACTTAACTGTTCAGTTACATTACAAAGTAAGTGTTTACCCTGTTAAAACCTGAACACTTACAAATGTGGAGCCAACTTCCTTTTGTGTTGAACTCCAGATACTAAGTACACGCAGGGAATTTATTGAAACTCTAATCAGAAGAGCATGGAAAACTAGAATTCAGTGTTTGCAGTGTAAAAGATAACTGCAACTGAGAACTCATCAGGCTGTGTTCATTGTCTTGGTTTGTTCTTGCACTCAAAAAACTTTGCATCTCTTGGTTTTTTTTTTTTTTTTTTTTTTTGAGAGCAGTGGGTCTGCGAGAACAGAGACTACAGAGCCATTCAGAAAAAACAACAAAACGAGTTGACCCAAGAGACTGGAAAGTGAGCATAAGAAAGATTAGAACTAAGTCATTAATTTTCAGCAAGTTGTTAAAAAATAAAAATTCTGCTCCAAACAAGAGCAAAGGATGGGGAAAATGTTAGGACTTTGGCTTTTTTGGTTTTTTTTTTTTTTTTTTTACTAGGAGAGCAGTGGGTCTGCGAGAACAGACTACAGAGCCATTCAGCTAGCCAAGAAAAGAAAGCAAAAAGGGAATGGGAGCAGCACAGGTGAGAAGCCATTAATTTTGTTAAATTTACTAAATACAATTATTTAGGTTTTTTGGCAGTGAAATGGGAGCAGGTATCTGAGTAGATTCTTAAACATCCCATCCGGTTTATTGCTAGTTAAAATAATTTATGCATGTGGTGTACCATCTGTTACTCAGGATAATCACATTCTGTGGAACATCAAATTCACAGTAAGTTTACAAAGAAATCTGCACCATATGTTTCATGATTGTTAACAAGAAGCTATCCCTCCATCTCTTCATCTGCTTTTTATTTTCTTATTAAAACAAAAGAAGTCAAGGTCACTTTGCTTTCTGTTGTTTATGCTTTTGGCCTTACCTAATGGGTTCTCTTTTACTCCGTACAGACAATGAAAACATCAGCTGGATTTGTTTTGCTTCTGTGTTTCACTTAGTAACAGTGTGTATGCAGTGTTAAAGGAGTTTATTTCTTAGTTATCTAGAAATACTCAAACCTCCCTCTTAGATTTTAGCTGTGGAGGGAGTTCTTGTGCAGGGTAAGGTTTAGGTCGTGATTTCAGATGTGTCCTCTTTCTCTTAAACTGGAGTTTGACTCAGAGCTGTCTGACGTGAATTACACAGCGCTACTTTATCAGATCAAACGTGGTCCGTGGCTCACTTGACTTGCATGAGCTCAGGTGGCTGAGTTGTGTCTGCCCTTGGGGCTGGGGTGGAACATCATACGCATATATAGTCTAGTTCTTCCTTGCTGTCTCTTAATACCTTCCACCTCTGAAAATCAAGGCGATAATTTTTAAGGTGAGTTAAGAGACTAGTTCTGAACAGAGCACTGTCACGTTTCTGTATTTGTAAAAGGCGTACCTGCATAAATTCTGTCTGGTTCAGCGAATCATCACACGGAAGGATAACTGCTTTATGAAGCTAGTTCTAAGTGTGCTTGTATCATCAAACATGTGCATGTATCATCAAACGTGTCTTTTGGGCATTAGTTTAAAAAGATGATTGCACTGCCTGTCTCCGAAAATGGCCTCAGAAAATTCCTATTTCTGTTCCTACTCAAGACTCCCAGTAGTCCATTTTTCACCAGCTGTTGCCTTAGTGCTACTATGGGCTTCTCAAAGTGCTCTGAGGAGTCTTGTATTTCTAATTGGTTTAACTAGGTTGAATAAACACTGTAGAGGGATGTTTGGTGTTTAAAAAGAAGTTATCCAAGCCTTTTATTTACTCTAGATTTCAAAAGAAACCCCTGAAACAGCTGATGGGATTGTATCCTTACATTTATTTTGATTAGGTTTTTGGTTTTCAGCTTGTGATACAAGCGGCTGGTTTGTCTGGTTATAAACTGAAAAATGCTTAAGGTTGTGATAGTTGTACTTCTGTAGCCTGTTCTACCTAACAGTCCTTGAAATCTTTCTGGAAAGAGATGAGCTTCACTATCCTCTTTTTACAGTTTGGAAAAATGATGTACATGACTTCTCAGGAAATGAGTTGCAAAATTAAAAATAGAAAATGCAATTCTACTTCCTAATTCCATTCTATAACTCCACAAACGTGCTGATATTTCTGTGCTACCACAGGGGTGAGCCCTAAGCTTAGCAGTTTGTGATGTGGTTTTAATGGCATTCATGTAAAAAGATGCTCAGTCAGCAGTTGGAGTTCATCAGCTGATTGCTGCCTGGCCTTTTAGCAGTTATCAGATGGTGCTTAATTATATTGCACTGTTCCAGGCCTTTGCTGTGTAGTGTAAATAACTGCATAAAATTGAAAAATACTAGCAGGAAACGTCGGCAAATTGCTTCTGACCATCTAAATATTAAAATTGCTCTCTTTTAGGGGCATCTGGCTCTGGTCAGAGGAAAAGCAAGGGTGGTAAAGTAAGCCCTACCAACTTTTCATCATCCGCTCCTGGCAGTCGACTGGGTGGCAACATAGTTCTGCCAAACGGAGGGCTGACCATAAGGGACCCTGCCACTGGAGCCCAGTATGTGCAAATTCAGCTTCTTCAGGTAAGAGCTGAGGAGGAAAAACGTGCTCATCTTCTCCATTACCCAAACTGACACATTTGTGGAAGAATCCGACTATCTGTGAGCTCGGGTACTACTGCCCCTAGATGGGATCTGGAGATCGGCAGTATGTACCATGTCCATTAGGGCATTTGCCCACAAGAAGCACTTTCCTGGGAAGTTTGTATGAAACTGGCTTTAGAGAGGTCTAGAAATGCCTGAAAACAGAGCTGGTTCAATCATAAAACTGCTGGGGGCCCAGGCAGGTGCATTGTGGACGTGGGTAAGATGTTGTTATTTGGTTTAGTACTGATCTTCAGTCCAGCCTGGAACACGTGGGCACTGTAACTGTAGGGAACATCCTGGTCAGCTTCCTAGGCTGGATACACTTGATGTAGGGAACACTGTGGTGGAACTAAGAGCTTTAGCAAGCTTTTGTTTTGCATGTGAGAGGTGTGATCCTTCAAGGGCGTAGGATTTTCCCAGTTTGGACACGCAGTTTTGAGAGCAGCAAAATAGGCCCTACGTTCCTGTCCCAAAATATGGGGTACTTGTTCTTCCAAAAGGAAAGGATTACTAGCATGATTTCCTTAGGGGGTGCACAGGAGTATGACTTTTTCCTCCAGTCTTTGTGGACACCCCCCCAGATTCTTACAGTACTCTGCCCCTCTCTCGTTTACAAGGTAGATGAGACTGACCTGAAAAGATTCCTGCAAAATGAAGTTTCAGCCTTAACTGTTATTTCTGTAAACTGTTGAAGTAAAGCTTAATATTTTTTCTAAAAATACCTAGTAATCCATGTGGGCTGATTAGTGGAGCATGGCAGGTAATACGTTTTTGGCCAGGTGTGTATCTGTATAGTATCCAGAGAGAGTGTAAGCTCGTTCCGCTTTATTCCTAACAACATATGGTGTGGAGGAAGCTGTGGCCAGAGTTCTTCCTCTTTCTGTTTTTCTGATGGGTGTAAACGTTTGTAACTTTTATGTTAAGTATCAGCTTCACACAACATGATGAAACTTGTCACATATTTCCGAGTGTTATGTTTGTTGGAAGATGAACCGTTCCTTCCGTTTCAGATCTTGCTGATTTTCCGAGTTGGTTACTATAAGATAATAGGTTGTACACTGAGCTAGGTTCAGATTTAAGTGGTAGTTAGCTTTCCACATATCTTTGTGGACCTAGGCCTTACTAGTACAGTGCAGGAGCTTTATCAGATTTTTTTAAGATTGTGAGGCTGAGTGAAATTTGCCATATTGTGCTGAGATGCCTGGGGGTCTTGTAATTGCATCGTGTTTCTGCATTCACAGGATGATTCCCCAGGAGAGGGAGATTTGCCCTTTCAACTGAGCTCTCAGTCCTCCTCGTCACATTCACAGCTTACAGTGGATTTACCCGTTCACATCCTTCAGGTACAGCATGTCAGAGCCATTGGGTTTTATTTCCTAGCTTGAAAGGGAAGAGAGTTTGCTGGGAACACTCTGGTGTTCTGCCTAATGAAAATACCCTGTTTTCTACTGGGAGTTTTAATTCCACTTACAAGAAGCAGTAAGCGGAGAGCTGCACTGCAAGGTTTATCTTGTGTATGTTACCAACCTTTGACACATCATAGGTGGCTGTTTTTCTTCCTGTTACCGAGTAATGAATAACTAAATGTTACTCATTTATTACTGAAGTGCCCCATCCTTGCTTTCCTGATCCCATCCTGCAGATATTAAATGGGACAAGAAGGAGGATCAGCATTGATATGTAACAGGCTACAGGAAGGGTGGGAAGAGGGAAGTAAGATCTTGAGCCTAGATTTCAGAGCAGTGTCTATATGGGAATAGCAGTTAGATTAAAAAGCCTGCTCGCTTCTACAGTCTTCTGTTGCACTACTTGCCCTCGCTAACTACTGAGTGTCAGTGTCGTTTGAAGGCAGAAAGCTTCATATAACTTCTTGCATAAACGTTTTGTTACCTGCTGATCAGGTAAACTGCATATTAGTGAGTAGGAGCAGCTGAGAACCAAGCAGCAATGAATGATTAGCATGTACATAAGCCACATTTTTTACTGGACTATGTGGGGCTTCGGTTTTGATAAAGCCTGCAGTGCAGTTATTCTTACCACTTGTGCTTCTCCTGGGTAGAAAATAAAGCTTTTGTATTTGAGAGGAGCACCTCACTGTGATAAACCTAGAAATACAAGAAGAGCACTAGGATTGTTGGTCACAGTAGAGAGTTAATAGAGGAAAAGCAAATAGTCAGTGATTGTAAATTTATCTCCATTAGTAATGCTCACCTGAAGTGTTGCAAATGAAAGCTGGAGCGGCACCGTTTGAGTGGGTCCCCAAAGTAGGAAAGCTTTGGGTTTCCTCTAAACCATTCAAAGCATTTCTCTGGTCTTGGATAAATGTCAAAGTAATCTTACTGATACACGGGTGAAAAGCATCTAGAGGTGAAAGCGCTGAACTCTTCATGCTGTCTGTTTGCTTCAACAGGAGCCACACAACTCCACCGAAGATGATGCAGGTTCTGATAACTCTCAGTTCACTGGAAGCACAATAAACTTACAGGACCTGGAATGACCATTATTAAGAACAGTTACTTGAAAACAAATTGGGCAATCATGTCTTGACAGAGTGAGATAACTGTGGGGGACTTTTTCCAAGGAAAATATGAAAACTAGGAGTACTGGATTATGGTTGCACTCTTCACAATTTGCTAAGGACAGTTGCAGCTGAAAGATTTTCTTAAAAAATGTAAATCCCACTTGATGTGCCTGTGTAAGATACCCTGTCTGCCTGGTGGTTGGAGGGACTGAGGCAGACTGCTGTACAGTGTTGTTTCAGGGAGAAGTACTGTATTAAACTTCAAACTGAGGTAATATTTACTGTTTTCACAGGAAAGCAAGTATTCTACAGCTAACAAGTACAAATTTATAATCATGCTACGACAGTTAAAACTTCCCTTCTATTGGTCTCCTGCCGGAGCCAGTGGCATTGAGGAATTAAGAGCTAAAATTTGCAAGTGTTTTCCACACACAAAAGAATAATTGTTTCGGCCCCTGTGTTTTGGCAGAAAACGGGAATAAAGTGTCACATGTAACAGAATTAATGTCCTATGCCATGAAAATGAGATGCTCTAAAATCTTTGTTTTAGAAAGCTAGATTCTAAATGTTAACTTAGCTGTGAATCAGTTTGTAGCTCATGTTGAGTTTCTCCCTTTCCTTGCTCCTGTGTCCCAAATACTTTGCTGAATTCTTCCAGCAAAACTTGAAAAAGAAAACTGCAATAGAACTGTACTCACTGTAAGTGATGAGCTAAGAGTCCAACAGCATCTGAGAGAGGTTCGTTTTACCTTTGTGTTCCCTTTTTTGGGAGGAATGTTGACCGTCACGGAAATTTAAGCACCTTGATTTTCTCTCATCTATAAACTGCTGCCAAGTTACCTGTAAACTGGCCACTACCTTTTTCTTTTGGGTTGGTTGGGTTTTTTTCAATGGAACACTGTTAACACTTGTTCTGTATCGATCTCCCAGAGTGTCACGTGCACGGGGGGCTCCTGGGTGGATTACAGAATATGCAGTTGTCGGAGTATTTTGTGAGGGGAAAAGAATTGCCACCCAGGAGGATTTGCCCCACTGAAAAACTGCAGTTTCTCTTGGGGGCGGGGGGAGAGGTTGTATGTACTGTACTTATCTGGATTGCAGACACCTAAATAAGTATAGGGTTGTATAGGGAAAAAAAAACAAACCCTTTGGTTACATTTTAAGGTAGTAATTTAAATGTTTCTTATGGTGATGTACTGAATGCCTATAAAATTATGTATAGGAGTTTGATAAAAGGGTGTATGTACTGTTTTTTATTCTCAATGAGGTGTGTGTGTATGCACGTATGTGTATTTTTTTTACAAAATAAGATACGTCATGCAGGAGAACGTTGTGATCTTTCTAATCTTGCACATATTTATTTATTTTACAGTTATACTGATGTTGAATTCACACGAGGTCATTCAGAAATGCTTTTATTCCTGTGCCTTTGAACTATGTATGTGTCCAGATAAATGCTTTTCTTGGTTGAAGACTCGGGGAGGAAAAAAAGCATACAGGTTACATTCAACTTCAGATCCTGATTTGTAGGCAGTATTATATCCTCTGGTTGAACCAGTTTTATTTTTCTATCTTCAGCTTAACTGAGCATTGAGGTCTCTCTGTTCCTCTCATCCTGAGTTGACAGCTTGCGTCCAAGGAATCTCTTAACCCTCTCGGGTTGGGTTTCCAAACCAAACAAATTGGTAGATGAGATCTTCTACCTGGGGGCTGTGCCTGCAGCACGGAGTCCGCTCCTGAGAGGTAGAAAGGTTGAGGAGGAATCGTGCTGAAGGGACTACGGGGTCTTGCTCTAGCGGTCACCGTCCCCTCCCTGGAAGCTGAGACACCTCGAGCTCCCAATGCCTGCATTATTCTGTTCTCAAGGACCATACCAGTTCTTAATCTATTAAAATGGCCAAGGAACAACTCCATCTTTTTATGGGACTTGCAACCAAATCTTTCTACTTCTGAAAATGTACCTCACTCTGCTTTGTAAGTGAATGTAAAGTGCTAACCTCTTGGGGCCGAAAATTGGATCACTTGGCTTGAAGTCCATTGCTGGCAATGGATACCTGAAGAACTGCTGGTGCAAAAGGGTTAATAAAGCTTTTTTTTTATGGTCAGTTTGTCACTGGGTATTGTTCTTTGTATGGACGCCTCCGACATAAAGCTAACTGTCGGCAGCTTGATTTCTGCAGAGCTTGTGTTTTTCCTTCCCTTGTGCCTTCTCCACAGTAGGGGGTGGAGTCTATGCTGAAACCCATCCTTTCGATCAAAGCATTAGCCTTCAGTTTTTGTAGTCCTTCAACAAATGATTATAATAAATGTCTGGCAGGTGCCTGGCTTAGTCATGCCTTGACAAAGATTGTGACCCAGGACTGCCATAGGTCTCACTAGTCAGGTTTGTAGGTATAGTGCTGTTGGCGTCAAAAACTGAGTGAGAAAAGCATCGTTGCTAGCAGGAGCCTGAGAAGCAAAATGAAAGAATTTTATTTTCTTAGGCAAAAGATCAATGGGGGGGGGGGGAGGGGGTTGGGGAACAAGGGAATTTTCCCGGGGGCCTTAGGGTAGGGGAAGAT